ATTGGCCATTAGAATATTAAAGAAATGGTGGTGTTGCTAGACGGGGTCTCAAAAGACTTGACATGCTTCTCTTCCTCTGCCTTTACCATGATAACATAACCAGCGTAACCTACTAGATAATGAAACACGTGGAGCAGAATTTCTGAAGAGCCTCATCTGTAAGAACCAACCCAGCTAACCTCTCCGGTACCTGCACATAACGATGAGTCTAGCTAAGATCAGCCAAGCCAGGATCAGATCAGTGGACCCCCCGCACCCCCCCCAGCTGACCCATACATGTCTAAGAATAAGAAATGGTTATTTTAAGCCACAGATTATAGGGTTTTTACAAAATGTTATTAATATACCATCTTTAAATCTTAGCCTGGTGGCAACTTGACCATGTAATCTTCCCTCACACAACACACCCTCATCTACTCCCCCATCCTCCCTCAGTAGTCTGTCCTCATAGCTCTTGTTTGATGGTATGATAATCTTCTGGCTTATCAGGTTTGTTTGGTTTGTTTGTTTGCTCAGTCAGTCTTGTCTGACTGTTTGTGACCCTTTGGATTGTAGCCCACCAGACTCCTCTGTCCCTGGGAGTTTCCAAGCAAGAATACCGAGTTGCCATTTCCTTCTCCAGGGGATCATCCTGACCCAGGGATAGAACCCATGTCTCCTGTGGCTCCTGGGATTCTGGATTATCAAAGTGTGAGCTTCTTGAAGGACGAGTCAGTATTATTTATGAATGCCTGACTTGTAGCAGAGAGGGCCTGGCACAGACAGGTGATGGTGCCCTGGCGGCTCTGTGATGTTTAAATCGTGAACATTGTCATGTTTTAAAGCCCTTGTCTGAAAAGCAGAAAATGGGTCACCTCACTGGAGCACCTGTTCTATGCCAGATTACTGTCATTTTAAACAAAGTGTTATTTGTCTTCCTGATAGTCACCTTTTTAATAAGAACTTGCCTCATCATTTGCCTCATTCGCTCCTCAAACTATTCTATGTGGGTAGAAAATGGGAACTTAGTATTTTTTAAGCCTGTATTAAGCATTAACCTTTTATATTTGAAAGCAAATTTCTTTTTCCTTATTTCATGGGTAGTAAGACATGCTTTTTTTTTTTTTTTTTTTTATAGTTTTCAGGTATCAGAAAGACACTGAAGTTGAGTAGGTCTTTGGCCCTGGAACTTTACTATATTTCTACAGTTGGTCCTCTGTTCTGTGGGTCCCCCATCTGAATTCAGTCCATCAAAGATTGAAAATACTTTAAAATTCCAAAAAGCTCCAAAAAACAATTTGAATTGGCTCCACACCAGCAACTATTTACACAACACATTTATACTATGCAGTTGACCCTTGCATAATGAAGGGCTTAGGGACTCAGTTGAAAAATCCACATATAACTTAGGGCTGGTCCTCTGCATACATGCTACCTCTGTATTTGAGGGTTCAATCATGGATCCTCTAGCACTGTAGTATTTACTACTGAAAAAAAACCCATGTGTTAAGGGGGCCCTGCACAGTATAAACCCATACTGTTCAAGCATCAACTCTATTAGCTATAAGTAAGCTAAAGATGACTTTGAGTATTCAAGAGAGGGGACTTCCGCTGTGGTCCAGTGGGTAAGACTTCGCCTTCCTGTGCAGGGGTGCAAGTCTCATCCCTGGTCGGGGAGCTGAGATCCCACATGCTCTGAGGCCAAAAAACCAAATCATAAAAAACAGAAGCAATATTGTCACAAATTCAATAAAGACTTGAGACTGTTCAAAAAAGTATACAGGAAGGTGGGTATAGGTTACATGCACATACTGTGCTGTCTTCTGTATGCCTCTTGAGCATCTGTAGGGTTTGACTGATATCTCTGGGGGTTCTGGAACCAGTCCCATAGTGAGGGATAACTGTAAAATGAACACTCTAAAACAGTGGTCCCCAACCTTTTTGGCATCAGGGACTGGTTTCGTGGAAGACAGTTTTTCCACAGATGGAGAGTGGATGGGGAGAGATGGTTCAGGCTGCAACGCCAGAGATGGGGAGCGGCAGAGGGAGCTTTGACTGCTTGCCTGCTACTCACCTTCTGCTGTGCAGCCTGGTTCCTAACAGTCCATGGCCCAGGGGTTGGGGACCACTGTTCTAGAACATCTCGGAGAACCAGAGACAGCTGGAGACGTGTTCAGTCATTACACTATTTCTAGAACATTTACTTTGTGTCCAGAGAGTTTGATATGATTATCTCCTTTTAAAGATAGTTTTTTGACCAAGCTCATATATCCAGAGAACGGCAGACTCCAATCACTCCCCCAGCCTTTGCCGATCTTATACACATTTTGTTGACTGCTCTGCATACTGTCTCTCTAAAATAAGACAAAAGCTAATACTCACTGTTGCTTACTAAGTACTATGCAGTGTGCTAAGGGCTTTATCTGTATTCCTTCTCATTTAATCTTTGGACATTGGAAAGAGTCTCAATTTCTAGAATCATCCCTGTATTAGAAATAAAGTAGAAATGTGAAGTGTCTTGTGTGCATGTGGGCTGAGTCGCTTCAGTTGTGTCTGACTCTTGGCAATCCTGTGGACTATAGGCCACCAAGCTCCTCTGTCCATGGGATTCTCCAGGCAAGAGTACTGGGACGAGTTGCTGTGCCCTCCTCCAAGGGATCTTTCTGACCCAGGGATCAAAACTGCAGCTCCTGCATTGCAGGCGGATTCCTTAATGCTAAGCCACTGGGGAGGCCCATTAAGTGTCTTGTCTGAGTGAGTGAGTGATAGTCGCTCAGTCCTGTTTGACTCTTTGCAATCCCATGGACTGTAGCCTGCCAGGCTCCTCTGTTCATGAAATTCTCCAGGGAAGAATACTGGAGTGGATTGCCATTTCTTTGCCTGATTATCAATGCTAAATGGCAAAGGGAGAATTTGAACCCAGACTGTGTTATTATTGAGTAAATGCTAAGTAAGTCTGTTAAATGAATGGGTAATCCCTATCAGAATAAGTTTGAAATTCTAACAAATGTTGGCTACGTAGAACATACCTAGATTAGCCCAAAGTAGCTTAATCCACTCAGAGTTGGTTCTTAACTAGATAAAACATTTTAAAAAATTATTCTGAAGAGTTTACAATTTTATAAAACTATTCAAAATAATCTTTAACAATTAAAATGTTAATAATTTATAAAAATGATTTATAACAGTTCAAATTGATCTATTAAGTTCCCATCAGACTGAGCTAGTTATATATGGACCTTTGTGTCAGTCCACACAGCCTTTCTCTAGTTAAAATTTGTTCTGACCAACTCAAGCTGGATTTATTTGCTATAATGATTTCAAATAATTCTGAAATTGTTGGTGGTCCTACCTAATCATGGGCTTCCCTGGTGACTCAGCAGTAAACAAATTCTGCCTGCAATGCAGGAGATGAAGGAGGTGTGGGTTCGATCCCTGGGTCAGGGATCCCGTGGAGGAGGGCATAGCAACACTCCAGTATTCCTACTGAGAAAATCCCATGGACAGAGGAGCCTGGTGGGCTACAGTTCTTGGGGTCACAGAGTCGGATGCCACGGAAACAATTGAGCAATTAGGAACAACTGAAACAATTATTACCTAATCATACTAATTTACCTAGATTAAGTTAATTAGAATCAACCATCATTCCACCAGTAACTTAAATGCATTTTAATTAGCTTTAAAGTGCTTTCTACCTTAAAGTGGTCAGAAAGGAGAGCTGAAACAACTCCCAGCCACTTGGTGAATATTCACACCCATTCCTATTAGACCCACTGCTGCTGCTGCTGCTAAGTCACTTCAGTCGTGTCTGACTGCATGTGATCCCATAGACGGCAACCCATCAGGCTCCCCCACCCCTGGGATACACCAGGCAAGAACACTGGAGTGGGTTGCCATGTCCTTCTCCAATGCATGAAAGTGAAACGTGAAAGTGAAGTTGCTCAGTGGTGTCTGACTCTTAGCAACCCTATGGACCACAGCCTACCAGGCTCCTCCATCCATGGGATTTTCCAGGCAAGAATACTGGAGTGGGGTACAATTGCCTTCTCCATTAGACCCACAAGACCCCCAAAAGTTGAGGAAATGTTACCTATACTCCTCTCAGAGCTCCGTCATATACACTAGATCCATTGTACACATAAAGATTTTCAGAAATCTAGAGAACATTTTATCCTATAAATTTCCAACTTAATTTTGGGACAAAACCTGTTATCTAAAATCTTTTCTAAAACTTGGTTTAAAAAACCAAGTTTTAAAAAGCACTGGTTCAAGCCAATTTTTGACCTTTTCATTGACAACCAACTCATTGAAGTAGATTGGAAACCATCTTCTAGTAAATCATACTGTTGAAAATGGCTCCAACTAGTTGAAAGTAGTTATTAAATTCTTGGGAACTTTCAGCATTTTAACAGCTTATTGACCAGAGGCATAATAATACATCTTTTGTTCCCTGAACATTATTGACTGGAGATATTTCAATATTCATATACATAACAAATCACCAGCCACAGGCATTAGTTTCTGCAAAAATCTCCCAGTCAATAATGTGTTAAAAACCATTCAAAACAGATTCAGTCAGTCAAGATGTATTTGAAGTGTACAACATTATTTATGTTCTTAACGTTTTCCCATGGAGCGGCAGAACATTTTCTAGAGTGTCTGTGAAAATAATGCAAACATTTTGAGGAATAATGGAAATGGTATCCCAGTTAGGGTGTGGCAGGTATCTTAAGACTGTATAAAACGATAATCCCAAGGGTGGTGATGTGTGTGTGTTGAAGTGGTCTAGAAATATTCAGGAGATCATCTCAAAGGAAAAAAAAAAATCATCTCATCTTTGCTTCCATGTGCCTCATTTGATCTTCTTCTTGAGGACTGGAGACATTAGGTTCAACATATTAATTAGGTTCAATGTACTGGAAATTGTCCCTGATATGGAAGGCATTCCAGCCCCAGCATGGATGTGTCAGGAAGTATGTAGAAGGGATTCTCATTGAGAGTTTAAAGTTCCACTCATGGAGTATCCTAAAATGTCAATAAAAGACTCTTTATTCATAAATAACTGATATGCAGGAATTTATGTCTGTACATTTATCTTGAAAAGTCAGTAACCATCCAGTTTTTTGCAAACTCTACATAAAACATCCAAACCGTCCATTTTTGTTCAATACAATATAACACAGCTGTTTGGCATTACCAAATATATATGTATATATATTTATAGATATGTACATGTGCTGAAAAAGAAGCCAGTGCAGCCTTTTCTAAGAAGTCCATCCAAGTATTTACTGTACAACATTCAGAATTTACACTGATAGTACAAGGCACAAAAAGTGTGGGATGAAGCCAAGGCCATGCTTTATTCAAACTCTCTCCTCTGGCTTGTTCACTCCTTCAGCTTCATGTCAAATTAAGTATTCAGTTCTGCTTTTTTTTTTTTTTTTTTCCGGCTTTGAATACATCAAATGAATGTTGAGAGTGGAATGGGTTTGAGATATGAGTCACTTGAAAGAACCACCCTCCCCATCCCGACACACACACATACACGCACACACACTTTGCCAAAATAGAACAAAATGAAATCTGTCTTAAAAGTTCTTCCATAGAGAAATGGAGGTAAACCATTACTTATATATATCTTTTTTCTTTTTCTTTTTTTTTTTAGTTTGAGTCAGGGAGAATTAGCCAGTTTTCCTCTAACTGCTTATATTTTCAATATTTCTAGGTTGAGACTTACTGGATTGCATGCACCAATCAGATACAGTTCTGAAGAATGGGAAATGTTAAATTGGCCTTTATTCCAGTTTAGAAAAGGAGGAAACTGTTTTCCTGGCCAGAAAATTTCCACAGATGGAGTGTTTTCCACCTTCTTACAGAGAAGGTTTGAATGAGAGTGGTCAACACAATTTAGGACAGGCCTTGGAAGGTGTTTCCGATTGAAATATTTTAGTCACCCTCTGATGAGGCTTAAATGGAAGTCTCCTGGTAAAAGGTGACTTCCCCTTATGTATCATCAGAGCTGCTAATGGAGGATTACTAGAATTATTAGATCTATTTCTGGTTGTAATATCTGTTTCAGTAATGGGGTCAGAAGGCATGATATTCTGTCCACAAATTCTCCAATATCACCTTTCCTTTTCATGATTCAACAGAACCACAGTCAGGTTTCTATCTACTCTCTACATCCAATTTTAATAGGATTATATAATTTGTCCAATTTGGGAATTTGGATGTAAATAATGCTTCAGATAGGGAAATACTTTTGGCAGGTGAGCACAATTTGAAGCCAAAGGACATTTTCATTATCATGCCTTTTGTAAAATGATTTAACACACATTTCCATTCATGCAAAGAACTACATTACCAAATTTAGTGATATATTTTCTCATTTAACTTCTTGGAAAAAAAAAGTACCCCTTGCCAAACTCAATGTTAGGAATGGGGGAGGAACTTTTGCATCTCTGGCCTAAACATGAAGCTTACTGCCTTTTTAATCTTTGGGTTCAGATGGAGGGTGGGTTCCAAGACATGACGTTTAGTGTCACTGTCTTAGGCCCACCTCGTGAGGACATTCCAAATCCATGATCTTCACAGCAAAAGGAAAAATCAAAGTAGCTGCTTCAAAAACCACAATTATTCTATGTGAGTTAAATTTCCTACTTCAGATCACAGCACTACACACTAGTGACTAACAGCCAGGTCTGATTTCCATCCCCTTTTCTTCCTTGAAGAAAATAACAGCACACGCACTGCCATCTTGGTTTTGCTGACAAGCCTGGAGTTGGGGATGTGAGGAGTCCATGGTAGACACTGGCTCTTCTAGAATTGCTTTTGCAAAAACACCACATGCTGTCAACACAGCCAAACAGCTTTATAACTGCAGCTTTTGAAAGAAGTTTGGAAAGTAAAAACACAAAATATGCAACACACCTAAGATTAGTAACATTTTCACTTTGTGACATTTGACAAAATACATTTTTGCTTGTAGTTCAGGAAAGTTCTATGCAGACAAAACAGTGGAAACAGTGGCCATTCAGCATTTGGCTAAAGCATCGAGTTTTGTAAATACAGCACTATGGCAACTAACACCAAAGGGATCATAGAATGTGTCACTATCTGTAGGACAAGATTTTGTTCTCCCATTTGCTGTGGATGTCACCTCTGGTCCAGTCAATGGGAGTTACCAAGGATTCAGAACTCTGCAGTGTTTCATGAGGAAAATGAATGAAAATGGGCCACACAGTGGGCCAGGAAAGCACGTTTCTCAGCTCCTTCACGGTTCCTGTGACCTTCACGGATCTGGAACAAAGACCCTCTGAAAGAACTTCACCTTTTAACACATCTGACTCAACACCTTTACAGACGGATTAAGAAGTTGAAGGGAAGATGGTAAAAAAAAGAAAACCCAAAGCACATCAAAAGATTCTGTGACATGTTGAAATTCACAGGTAGACTGGCCAGATGTTTGCAAAGTGGACAATATCATCTTCAACCAGTTCTATTCTTTTTAATGTTCTCTTATCAATCCTGATGTTGAGAATTTCTATCAATGGAAACTGTTATAATACACCCAGAACTTTTCAATCCAAAGAGAACCCTGTTTAGCGATTTGACTTCATAACTTCTCTCAAAGTCAACTGAAAAGAAAATAACAGGGACTGTGGCAAAGGAGAACACCTGCAGTTGGAAATAACAGAAAAGAGAGAAGTTCCCCTCTTTAAAGAGAACTCTGTCAATTCCTATTCATCTCTTACAAAAAGGCCAATAAAATTTTTGTGGGAGTACATCTGAGTTTTATGAGACTTCCTGCACCGGTAAATGAAGTTTGCATTTAAATCCATAGAGTGAGCTTCCTTTTGGCTTAAAGGATTTTTAATGTAAGCCTGGAAGACTGCACAAGCAACGCTGTAAAAACTGTAAATTACCTTTATGGGGCTGCAGTCTGGTGAAGCTGGGAACAGGAGCGTTTTGGTGGCTCCTTTTAAGTCATGTTTGAAGCTGGACTATTAGACTTAAATGCATTTGAGGATTGAAAGATTTGGCATTAAGTGGGCTATCCTGTAAAAATTTTAAGTCGCCTACCAAGTATGAAAGACCACCTTTAATTTACTGTTTCATTTTGCTCTAGGACAATAAGACTTTGAATGTAAGTGCTTAGACGGAGTGAAAGGCAATATGATAGGAAAGTATTAAAATCAAACCAGGGTTTAGGCTACAGTGAGTAACCACAAGTTCAAGTACCAGCTAAGTCTGTCTGATGCGGTTTCAGACTCTTCTGCCACACACAAACACATCTTGGTCTGTACATCTCAACAACATGGGTTCTCTTTGGAATTCTGTTATAAAATACCGTACAGTCCTGACCTGCAATGGCCACAGAATCTCCTACCGTAGGAAACCTGTAGAAATCTTATGTGGGATCCTGGAAGAAATGAGAAATAGAAAGAGGAAACAAAATGGACTGAAAGGTGGGCTTGAACTTTGGGCTGAAATTTGAGGTGGATTATGTTCTTTTGCTTCCTTTATCTCATCTATAAAATCCAGGCCAAAAAAAAAAAAAAGGAAATACATGAGAGGAAATTCTAGACAGTCAGGGATTGATAATAAATTCTTATCTTAAAACAATCTAGATAGATTCTAGGGAAAACATTGACATTTTCCATGTTTTAAAATATAAAAAATGTATCAAAAATCTAAAAAAGATCTGTGGATTCACAGAATAGATAAAACAATTATAAGGCCAATTAGAAGAGAAGAGGAAAAATGGGTAGGATATTTAAAACAAAAATCCATCCAAGATGGATAACAATATAAGCTCTACACTGTGTTTTAAGTCTGTATTCAGCAGTTCAATGCAGATTCTTTCTGCATACCACCCATGCCAATCAAACCTCAGGTTTATTTTGGGAGACTGACCATCAATTTCCACTTCTACCTCAAATCATATCAGGGGTAGCAAATGATTTACAGTTTTGCACTTTGTGTGTTTTGCTCCCGGGAAGGAATAAACAACTTGAGTACACTAGCAAAAAGGTGTTTTCCTGATGGAGGTATGGTATTTTGAAAATACGCTCAACAGTTCTAAGAGGACTTGTTCTATACAATATACCTTTGGTTCCTGAGAAAAGCAAGATGCTTTTGAATTTCATATAGCAAAGCCTTCTATCAAATACAGGGGACCTTTATATACCACACATTCATTAGAGAAAATGGCCAACACATTGAAGAGTTCTTCAAAGCGTTACCCAGGGTATTGTAAATTCAACTTACTTTAGGTCGTTTTTCACTTAGGTGGAGATTCATTTTTTTTAAACGTGAGACCTATGTTTAAAAAATTGACTGCATCTTTACTGCCAAGTATTCCTCATCTCCCCCATTCCCTGACTATTTTTATTCTAATGGAGTCAACTTCTAAGTAGCTGTCCAACCTGTGGTTAATCTAGGTCCTTGACTTTGGTTGTCCTGATTCTGGACAGCTAAATAAAACATCCACCAAAAGATGAGCAGGAGCAAATCTGTTCATCTTTAGGCTACCAGGACATTTTGTCAAAAAAAAATTAAACAGGATAAAAGATGGAGTGAAGTGTTAAGATGGAGGTCATGTATTATCTGTGGATTTCAATTCTCCACAATATTGTTGCCTTTCACTATGTTAATGGTCCTTAAAGCATACTCAGGGAAGTTGAATTATTGGAGCGTGACGGCTGTCTGAACAATGCGTGTAGTTTCTGAGACACTGTGGTAGAAGAATTCCTCATGTCTATGTAGTTGGGAAACATTTAGAGCAAAGACCATTTGCTAATTTCTTAAGAGGCAAAATGAGGATGACCTATAGGTCATAGGCCTATGACCTCTATGGAGAGGCCTCTATGGAGAGATTTTGTATGAACGCAGTCCCCAAAGGCTGGAAAATTCAAGAAATGGATTGAAAAGGACCATGAAACTCCTCATCCCTTCATAACCACCATGCTGGGGAACTAAATCAACACCTGCACCCTAGAATGATAGCTTGAGGCCTGTGGCATCTGCAATTCATGTTTCCTTGGATCTGATTTGACCTCTCTTGTCTCTAAATCTGTGCGTAAGTTGTGTTCTAATAGCTTTTGCAACTTGAGTGGCTTAGCTGAGAATGAAGATGGTTCTGTTAAGTTGGGCTAGAAAAAATAAATCCCCATACTGAAAAGTCTATGTTCCTTGAAACTTCTTCCCTAGTGTAAGGGGAAGAAAGAATGTGGAAAGATTTGTCCTTGGAGAAAATGAAGGTGGGATAGTATGCTGCAAGACTAGTGTGTGGTCTCTTACCTCTCGACCTATTAAGTGGCTGGGATAGATAGGGAATTGGTGCTGGTGTGGTGTACTCAGATTTGAAATTCTAAATGCCCCTCTTGACACCGTTGAAGTCTACAAATGAGTTGGCAACCCTGTCTCAGTTCTAAAAGCCAGTTTGCAATGATTGCCAACATCTCCCATGCCAGTTGGTTAGAAAACTCTTGACAGTCTGGTACCAGCATCAGCTGGTCCTTTGGGGACACATCATTAAAAATCTGTTTCAAATCATGCACTGATTTAATCTCAGTCTTCCCAGCTTTGCTACAGCTCATCTTTCCCCACAGTTACTTCTACTAGATAAGCCCTCACGTCATCCTTGTCACTCCAAATCTGAGCAGTCCCTCAAGTGTGAACCCAAGTATGGATTCAGAGGAGGCTGTAGAACCGTCTTATGTTTAAGAGAGCTTGTACTTTTCCCTACCAGTATATGTTACCTATATCAAATTCAGTTCCTTCAATCAGGGATGTTGACTGATTATAAATGAAGGCTGAACTCCCCAATGCCACTGGGCAGAAAGCTGCCTCTTTCTTTCCCATTGAAAGCAAATGTCCCAAAGCTGGCCGTCACCCTCTCAGGAGAGGAAGTGGACTAGAGTCCGTTTTGCCTGCTGTAGTTGAAGTCGGCTTCATCGAGCTGGGATTCCGTAATGTTCGAGAGTTTCGTGTGTGTCCTCCCAATCTCTTCAAGGGCACAGGCCAGGGAGTCAAGGTCACCATCGTGCTGATGACGAGCTTCCCACAGGTTCAAAATGACAGCAGATGGGCTACTTTGTGTAGCAAAATAAGACAAATTCCTAGACAGAGTTGAAGAAACAAAATGACAAGACAAAAATAAAAACAGAAATAACAAATACAAATAGTTATAAGGGAATTAGAAATGAATTGTAATAGCTATTATTTTGATAGGACTAAGGAGTTCCACTAAAGTAGACCTGGGGATGGTCCAGTTTGTATCAGATCACTCAAGTGAAACTGCTTTGGAGGGTTTCCAATGACCTTCTTTTCCTGTAAGGGTCTTACTAGTCCTCACCTTCCTTGAGTTGTGTATGTGCATGTTTATCTCTTGAACACCCTCTTAAAAAGCTCTATTCTACTAGCTTATGTGATGATATAACTCTTATTTTTTTTTTCTCAAAATATCTTTATGCCTCCATGGTAAACATAAGGGCTGTCAAGAATTAATCTGTGATTCCTGGGGCTCATATACCAAATGGACTAGTTATCAACACCAAGTGGACAGTGTCTATCTGCACCTCCTGTCCTCTAGATTAATGTGAACTAGTGACAGACTTTTTAAATGACCGAAGGACTGCTCCAATTAGATATCAATCCTCCTCCTCAGACTCAGCGATCAGGAATCACTATAATCTCCATGCCTCCCACTGGCCCCCATTCTCATAACAAATATCCTACCAATTAAAAAAGGAATCAAACAAGCAAGACAAAAAAAACATCCCAGTAACTACAGCTATTCTTCTAATCTCACACTAGGACATTTATTTTTGAGTCGTCTTTGTTTCTTTCTGACAAACTCAGCAGCTTCATTTTTTATGCTCTATTGTTTTTATAGCTGAATCATAGCAAACGCCTTCCAGCTCGTTATAGCTCCAAACTCTCTAACATCTCCTGCATTTTGTTTCTTCAATCATCAGGTATCTACCTGTTTTCACTGCCTGCCTTGGTCTGGGCTCATCCTAGCTATGGCTACGTATGTATTTTCCCTCCATATTCTTTTTTCCTTTGAGCTGACTTAGGGAATGCTTTTCTCCTTGCCTTCATTCAGGGAATTCTGTTGCTAGGAAATGCCCACTTTCCCTCTTTCCCCTCTGTTTATGAAGATCCTACACTCTTACAAGGCCCAGATTGTGCTGGGTTGGCCAGAAGGTTCACTGAGGTTTTTCAGTAACATCTTATAGACAATAGAAAATTCTCATCTCTTTGCTCAAAGTGCTTTATTGTTTTTTTCTCTATATGCTTCTGCTTAAATTTTCATGTGAGTAGAATTCATACATATATATGTATATTCTATGTTTGTGAGCTCTGCCTTCTCAGTGTGATTCAGACACTTGGAAGGGCCATAGCTAATCCTTTTCTGATTCTGCAACAACACTTATCATAATACTGTGACAGGTATTTATTCAATATCTATCGACTGAGTAATTGATTGCTTGGAGCTTGTTTCAGATGATATGAGATTTTCAGTGAAAACAAATGATAACCTTTTGGACAATAACTTTGCTACGATGAAGACTGAGACCACACAGAGGATTAAAGGTCATAGTCTTTCAGAGGTACTTTTACAGCAGGGATAGAAATGTCAGGGTAAGATTCTGATGAATTGAAAAGATTTCTCAAAGTCAATCAAGATTTGCCTATCTTGAGGGTGGTATGACTTTCGATCATCAGACACAGCGTGTAATCACAAAGTAGACTCTTATAGCCAAGAGCAGTTGGAAGAGAAGACAAGTTTTTAAGGGCACATTATCATTTACATGCAGTGCATGCACAGTAATTTTGAGTGAATAAAGTTCTATTTTGTTCAAGTCTTAAGAGACGACTTAAAGCTAGTTGATTGCCAAATAGCACAAATATCCCGGTATGATAGACACTTTCCAATACATCCAAATCTTAGTTTGAGAGGTAGAAGCCCAGATTAAAAAATAATTCTCTCTACTTTCTTTTTCTCTTATCTTCTCTTTCCTTCCCTCCTTCCTACCACTGCCCTCCCTGGCCCCCCCATAATTGGCCCCGGAATCCAGTATAGTTATTTCTACACTAATAGAAATAGCAAAGCAAATATTGTTTCCGTAGTTGAAGGGATCCTGGTTCCTTTTACTCAGAACATTGCTTTTAATGCTGCCACTTCCTCCTCCTTGTAGGGAGCTGTTTGTGGGGAAAGGTGCTATATCTCCAGGTCTATACATAAATGGGCACATCCCACCCAGTGTTCAAGCAGAATACAAACTGGAGAAATAGGTGAAAAAGAGGCAAATAGCCTGAAAAACAGGCAAAAACTGAGAGGCTAGGTGTGACTGGATTCTGGGTGGGCTGTGTAATAATTTTTATCTATGCAATTTATGAGAATAATGACCATTGACACACATTTGTTCCTGACATGGGGGAAATAATTCTTTATGCTCTCCATTGTCATTTCAAAAGAAAATGAATGCTGGCAAGCACCACAAAAAGAAGTACAAATTTCTCATATTACTGAGGGTTTATATTTTGTATTTGCTATGGATGAATAATGGACTCAGGTCTGGGGGAGTGACTGGAATCCTTGTGATCCTATTAACCCCACAGCTACCCGTTATTCTATACCATGGGTGACAAACTATTTCTTTAAAGGCCCAGAGAGGAAATATTTTTGACTGCAGGGACCACATCTGGTCTCTACAACAGCTACTCAACTTTGCCATGGCAGTGGGAAAGTAGCTGTTGACAATATGTAAATGTAAGTGTAAGGGCGTGACTGTGTTCCAATTAAAACTATTTATAGAGACACTGAAATTTGAATGTCAGTTTTCACACGTCATACCATATCACTCTTGTGTATTCTCATGAAACCATTCTAGCTCTGGGGCTAGAAAAGCAGGTGTTGGGCCAGATTTAGTCTGTAGGTCATGGTGCCGATCACGTCCCATGGTGTCTTTTAACCCAAACTAGACTTCCATATGCAGTAGCCATTTGAGAGAAGATGAAACTGAATATCCATCTGGTGCTGAAAATAAGCCCTAGAGGGTTGAAGTTGCTGGGGTCCCAGAGCTACATGTCCTGTTCCAACCACTCTGAGATCTTTATCCTTGGTAACTGCTGGGGGAGCTTTAACATTTGACATGAGAAGATGATCTGGGCATGAAAATGTAAAAACGAAACTTTAGGAGAGGCATAAAAAATATGTTTTGGAGGTTGGGATTAATCCTTCTCCCAACAAACCATTCAGAATATTCACAGATGCTGCTGCGGTGTGAAGGTGTTATAAACACACCTGCCTGGAGGAAGAACAGCAAAGTTGCAGGATGAGTCTTGCCAGGCATTGGGTTCTTAGAAGTCCTGCACGTGCCCCGATGTGCAGACTAGGTACCCAGGGCTACAGGAAGCTAAATGATCAAAGAGGCAGAAATAGAACTCTCCCTTGGCACGGATCTCTGAACATACTGTAGCAAGGAAAATGTGCTCCCCAAAGCATGTTTCAGATTGACGCTCTCAATTTATACAAGTACACTCGGCAATACACACAAATCTCAAACTCCACTTAATTTGAGTAGACACATGTAGCAGCACATCAGCCTTATTAAAAATGATTCAGTCAGCTTTGTGATGAAGAGACATCCTATTAAACTATTCTTACCTGTCTACCCCAGGATAATTAATAGACAAAAGACCCTAGAGTGCTACTGCTATAGGCCAGTAGTCCCCAACCTCTGGGATTTGAGGCCAGATGACCTGAGATGGAGCGATGTAATATTAATAGAAATAAAGTGCACAATAAATGTAATGCACTTGAATCTCCTTGAAACCATCCCCTGCCCCTTGTCCCCAATCTGTGGAAAAATGATCTTCCATGAAACCGGTCTCTGGTGCCAAAAAGATTGGGGACCTACAGACTACTTCTCAAAGATAGCTGGATTATTTTACTGCTTAAGTTAAATGTTGGTTGCTCAGTTATGTCCAACTCTTTGTGACCCCATGGACTGTAATCCACCAGGCTCCTCTGTCCACAGGATTTCCCAGGCAAGAATATTAGAGTGGGTTGCCATTTTCTTCTCCAGGGGATCTTCCTGACCCAGGGATGGAATTCAGTTCTCCTGCATTGCAGGCAAATTCTTCATCATCTGAGCCACGAGGGAAGCCCCATTTTAACACTTACATATGTGCAAATGCATTATGATTTTTTTGAAAATGGGCATACCATATATCCATTTGGTTATCTTCCTACTTTCCTTTTGAAATTATTTTGATCCCACTCTGTGTGCCCCATTTCTCTTCATAATAATGCTGGTACACTTGAACACCAGCAGGTACATCCACACGTGATTCAGGAAATGTTGCTAATACTAGAAAATAGAATTCATAGCAATAGTTGATTTCCTGAGTGCCTTTGTTTTTCTTTTTTGAGGGAGGGGAATGAAAAAGGAACATTTGGCAAAAACAGTTATCTTGAAATTCAGGTGGATGGCTCCAAACAAAACGATTTTTCCCTTTCTCTTTGCAAAATGTTTAAAGAAGCAAGTATTTATTATGTTGGTCTTAGATGATTCAAATTGTTTTTTTATGCACTGAACCTTTTGTCATAGGCTTTTCAAATTCTGATCGACTAAGGTAATTCTGAAAAATAAGATTTATTTTTTTGTGGTGTCATAAAGATGCTGCATACTGTGTGAAAGTGAAAGTCGCTCAGTCGTGTTTGACTCTTTGCGAACCCATGGACTATACAGTCCCTGGAATTCTCCAGGCCAGAATGCTGGAGTGGGTAGCCTTTCCCTTCTCCAGGAGATCTTCTCAAGCCAGGGATCGAGCCCAGATCTCCCACATTGTAGGCGGATTCTTTACCAGCTGAGCCACAAGGGAAGCCCAAGAATACTGGAGCAGGTAGCCTATCCCTTCTCCAGGGGATCTTCCCAACCCAGGAATCAAACCGGGGTCTCCTGCATTGCAGGTGGATTCTTTACCAACTGAGCTATCAGGGAAGCCTTGCACACTGTGTAGATAAAATTATCTACCCTAAATCTTAGGAGTTTACTTTATTTATTTTTCATTTATTTTTATTAGTTGAAGGCTAGTTACTTTACAA